CGTTCAGCAGTGGAACTCTCTGCCCCGGAGTGTGGTGGAGAGTCCTTCTTTGGAAGCTTTTAAACAGAGGCTGAATGACCATCTGTCAGGGGTGCTTTGAATGCAAGTTTCCTGCTTCTTGGCAGGGGGTTGTACTGGATGGCCCATGAGGTCTCTTCCAACTCTATGATTCTATGATATATACTGCATACTTTATGAGAAAATACCTTTCCTTCATTACCATCTAGTATTATTGCATTTCTCAGTTTCCAAGGTAAGCAGCTAAGGCTCAAAGTGCTTTAGCAAAGATTAGAAAGATTATTTGCTCTTTGATGTCCTGAATCCCGATCTCTTGCGTCCCAATCTAGACATGTGGTCTCTGGTTTGTAAGCTTGGAAGTGATAGTTTCATAGTTTGTGTGTGTGTATAAAAGAAAATAATTTGTTGGTACTTGAAGCATATATGTAAGGGCTGCTGCTCAATAGCAAAAAGACAGACAGCTCCCAAGTTATGAACAAGATTGGTCCTGTAGATCTTAAGCTGAATTTTATGTAAGCCAGGACCCTTCCACACAGCCATATAACCTGGAATATCAAGGCAGAAAATCCCCTGGAAGGGACTTTAGAACAAGTACTTTTTAAGGTGTTACTTCAGCCATATATATATATATATATATATATATATATATATATATATACACATACATACATACATACACACACACACACACACACACACACACACACACACACACACACATACATACACACACACACACACCACACACACACACACACACACACACACACATACACATACCCATACACTGGGCTCCTCCAGATGTTTTGGAGGAGCTTCCAAAACTCTTTACAGCTGGTAAGATGGCTGGGATTTTGGGGAGCTGAAGTGCAAAATATCTGGAGGAGCACAGTTTGAGAACCACTGCCATAGACAATCGTGACTTGCAATCAAGGGATACAAAAGAGAGAAACAACCAAGAAATTGCTGTGGAAGAATGGTGGGCTGGAATGGCAAAATAAGTTATTCATTCCTATTAGTGTTTGAGAATTGTCCATTCTTTTCTCTTATATTTTCAGTCTACATTCATCTGCATGAGTACTCTGCAAGTAGATCAGTAGGAAACTAGATCATATTTATGGACTTGGTTCCAGAGTAATATATAGACTAATTCTGTGCTGAGTTTGAAATCGATACTTAGTGATCATTTGTTGGTTATATAAATTGTATGGTAGTTTGCCAGAAGATGTCAAATAAAGTATACAGACATCTAATGAGCATTGTTATTCGGACAAAAACTTGAGTAAACATTCTTCTTGAGACTTTACAAGAAGATGAAGAAGAAGAGAGTCCAACTTGTACATTGTGAAGTCTGGAAAAAAGTTTGGCAAATGGGGAAAAGTCCCTTTGTGTATCTAATGAATTGCAAAGAGTTCTTGGTTTGTTCATTTCAATAAAAGTTGGTTTTGAACATCCTAAAAAAATAAAAATAAATATTATTGAGAAATGATAGGCAAGACTAGTTCACCATTTCACAACATGCTTCCCTCCTCCTTTTATTTGTTTATTGAACCACACTCCTGTGTCATTTATTTCTATCTTAGAACAGTTGACCAAAAATCAGAATGCTGGGGCTTGACTGCCTTTGCAATGATACCTTTTCTCTCTGCAGCTCTAGAGGGGTTTTCTTCCATGTGCGGTTACATCTGCATCAGGCCTGCACAACGTGCTAGTAGTAAGGGGCCAAAATTAAATAAACTGAACTTCTTCGGGCTGAGGATAGCTTTTTAGCACATCACTCAGGGGTTGCAAGAGGACGCCTTTCCCCCAGAACAAGCAGCCAAGCTCAATACCCTCAATTTCCCCATCTACCCTCAATTTGGTGGTGAAATGCAGTGCTTTACTGAGGGAAGGAAGAAGCACCTCAGCTCTTGTCTCCGCTGTTCTTCCTTTCTCTTTGCCCCTGTCATCTCTTTCTCCTATGGAGGGAACAACCACCAACTCTGCACCGTTTATGTCCCTCATTTGTGAGAGAAAAACGTAGCTTTGCCATGAAGACCTCACAATTTCATGGTAAACTTATGTTTCTCCCTCACAAGAGTTGGTGATTTTTTTTTGCACCAAAGGAGGACAAGACAACAGAAGCAAATCAGAGGCAAAGGACAAGAAAAAATGGCATAGACAGGTTTCTCCCTCACAAAGGAAGGGTGTGGAGTTGGCAGTTCTGCTGCTGGATGAGATGGAGAGGACAGAGGCAAAAAGAAAGGAAGAGCGGCAGAGGCAAAAACCGAGGCCCTTTTTCTTTATTGCCTCCTTCTCCCCCCAAAAAGTCAATCTAATGTTAAATTTCAACATATCCTGGAGCTCAAGATTCCAACCTCTCTGAATAAAGATTCGATGCCTCTTACAATTTCAACCTGAGTCCAGCAACCACCTAAGGCCTCGTTTCCAACTGAGATCAGCACTTCCAGCCTCCTGACTGGATCTGATGGTGGTGCCCCCCTTGTCACAGGTTAGTTTCGTAACTTTGGTGCATACAGAAAGGAAACATATCGAGCAGTGGTTCTCATCTTGTGGGTCCACAGGTGTTCTGGCCTACAACTCCCAGAAATCCCAGCCAGTTTAACAGCTGTTAGGATTTCAGGGAGTTGAGAGCCAAAACATCTGGGGACCCACAGGTAGAGAACCACTGGTATAGCGGTTTGGAGGAGGGAATTATGGGTTTCCATTACTACTTTGCTATGGCTCTGCATGTGGCCTCTTTCTCTAAGGCTTGGGCTCTGAGCTTCTGCAACCTGCTCTAAATCCTTGTGACAGCTACATCTGGGCCACATATTGTGCAGCCCTGATCTACATTATAGACTTAATACAGGTTGCCACCCCTTAAACTGCCATAGCTCAGTGCTATGAAATCATGGGAGTTGTAGTTTAATGAGCCACCAGCACTCTTTGCCAGAGAAGTCTAAAAACCTTTAAACTACATCTCCCATGGTTCCATAATACTGAGCCATGGCAGACAAATGTTTGTCAAAGTGTATTAATTTTACAGTGTGGATGCCCCAAGGGTCTGCTTTTGAGGGTGCTTGGGGTGATGCAGGTCTAAGGGGGCAGTCCCCACAGACAAAAGGAGTTCATTTGCTACATGTAAGTGTGCTCTCTTAGTATAAGATTTAGTAAAGTGAATATCTTAGAGCGGTTACTGATAATACATTCATGTACAGCAAACAGTGTTTATTGAAATGTATAGGCAAAAGTAGTCAGACCTCAGCATATAGTGATCATGGTTAAACTTCCAAGCCGTAGCCAAGGAGTGACTGTTACCATCCAGTGTGAGTCAGGTCTGCTCTGCTCCATTGGAATTCCAGTGGCATTCTAAGAACCAGGATCTTTCACTGTAGGAGAAACTTATTCATCAGCATTGTCCTTCAGAGGGAAGACAAAAAATAATTATTTTTCTAAAAAACATTTTCTGTTCTGAATGTACAATGGCTGTATTTCAACCCAAACAAGCCCCCATCATTTTGGTCTACTGTAATTGGAATTGGTTCCACGTAGCGGAGAATCGCTTACCTGTTTCTATTGTATTTTTTTTTACTGATTAGATTTTATCTGACATCATTTGAAGTGGTTTGAACTGTGACAAGAAAATAGGGATGGATCAATTAGATTTATACTTTCTTGTAAGATAAATTGGATTGTGTTTTCTTGTCTTAGTTATCAAGGTAAGAGGCGCCTCCATAAACTGTAGAATTGTTCTGGTCCAGCATATTTTTATCTAAGACTTGTATTTATTTATTTTCCCATTTATGAATCTAGGGCTCCTGTATCAACAGGGAATGGTTTTATTTTAAGGGTGGTGATGGTATATTTTTGTTTCTCTTCCGTTTTTTTAAGTGTTCTGCTCTCTTTGCTTCATTTTTTTAAAATTTAGACTTCCATGTAGTCTTTCAACCCAATGCAGCAGCTCTTCTTCCTCTGACCTTCTCAGTCCAAGCACAGAGGCTGTGTGAAAGCATGATGAAAAAGGGAATGAGAGGAATGTATACCCCTCCAAAATCTTCATCCTATTCCCCCTTCTTGCGGTTTCTGTCATAAGGATCTTCCCTGTTTCAGAGACTTAATGTGGAATGAGTGTGCATTGTTGTCAATAAGGTTTGAGATTGAATAAGCCTGACTTTTCAGTGTGTTGGAAGCAGAGCTGACCCTGTAAGTGAGCCCCTCCATATGATCTGCCTCAATCTTGTTGCCAAGGTTGCCAGGTAGAATACAGGACAGGGCTCCTATATTTTTAATGGTTAATAGACCCTGAAGCAGGAATAAATAGTGTAGAGTTTTACCAGGTCTACTCATGTGACATTTCTTCTTTCATTTGCCCAAACTACCTTTTAGTTGCTGCACCCCTCCCTAAAAACACAGTGTCATTTATGAGCTCAGAGATAGTGGGTGCAGTGATGGAGAGGCCATCCAGCTGTATGTCACAAACATCTCAACTTAATTAAGTTTTAATAATTTGTTCAGTTGTTTTAAGGTGCATGACTTCTGAAAACTGACGTATTTGAAGTGTGTGTGAAATAATACACTCAATACAGAAAAATTACAAACAAGATAGGTTCTGTATGCTTGTTTTTAAGTTGAAAAGGTAATTTTTAAGTCTAAGTCCAGCCAGTTGTTTTTTTTTTAAATTGTATACTCTTCAGAAATACCCCTTTTCAGAAAATTTTACCTCATTTTCTGTTTCTGTGAGAATTGGATTTAGAACATTTTGGGTTGTTGTGTAAACAAAGATTGGTGATAAAACTTCAGTGGAGACATCTTTTTCCCAGCATAAGTCTTACAGGAGTGAATATTCTTTCCTAGGGATAGATTTCCTCTCACTTCCTGTTGAATAACTCCTATTTGAATAACTCCTCAGCTCTCCGATGAAAGTCTGATATTTCTAACTTGGGGATTGCCTGCATTCAATTTCTTTGTGTTACTCTTTATTTCTTCTGTTTTACTTTTAGGGTGAGTCATGTCTTCATGTTCTGAGCTTGTGGATTCCAAAGCTGAGCTGACTGCTTCGCTGGAGCAATGGGAGAAGGAGCATGGCAGTGGACAAGACATGGTTCCTATACTTACTCGGTAAGTCCAGTTATTTGGAATTATAGCTAGTTCTACAGATTAATTACTGTTTACAAATTACTACTGAACACTAAGGTTGTTGGGAAACTATTTTAAAAAGTGAATGAAAAGCAGGGTCTTGTCTAGATATCATTAATATAACAGTTGGAAAATACTTCACAGCCTAGAAGACCATCAAATAATAAAGCTAGTAAGAACTTTTGTAACCCACATGAGGGATGACTCTCCAGATGTCATTGGAGTGTGATACCCATCACCTCCAGCTAAGATAGCAAAGGTGAATGGTGCTGGGAAATGCATCCAGCAACAGCCAGAGGGGCTGTTTTTTGCATGCTTCAGATCTGTGAGTTTAGGTTTAGTCTTCCATTCTTTTCTTTTGCTGAATCGCAGTTGTTTAACATCTTGGTCACCTGTGATACAGTAGAGAGCATTCGTGCATAAGTGCCTTTGTAGTTCTCTCCAACTGAAAAGTTGAGGAGCAGCCCAGTTGGGAAATGAGGTAGAAGTATGTGTTGTCAAAGGCTTTTATGGCCGGAATCACTGGGTTGCTGTGAATTTTCTGGGCTGTATGGGCCATGTTCCAGAAGCATTTTCTCCTGACGTTTCACCCACAGGAATCTTTAGAGATTGTGAGGTTTGTTGGAAACTAGGCAAGTGGGGTTTAGATATCTGTGGAATGTCGAGGGTGGGAGAAAGGACTCTTGCTTGTTTGAGGCAAGTGTGGATGTTGCCATTGATCATCTTGATTAGCATTGAATAGCCTTGCAGCTTCAAAGCTTGCTGCTTCCTGCCTGGGGAAATCCTTTTTTGGGAGGTGATTAACTATCCCTGATTGTTTCTTGTCTGGAATTCCCCTGTTTTTGAGTGTTGTTCTTTATTTACTCTCCTGATTTCAGAGATTTTTTAAAAATACTGGTACCCAGATTTTGTTCATTATCATGATTTCTTCCTCTGTGTTGAAATTGTCCACATGCTTGTGGATTTAAATGACTTCTCTGTGTAATCTGACATGGTGGTTGTTAGAGTGGTCCAGCATTTCTGTGTTCTCAAATAATATGCTGTGTCCAGGTTTGTTCAGTAACTTATGTTTCTCTTTCCTTTTCTAGAATGTCAGAATTAATTGAAAAGGAGACAGAAGAGTACCGTAAGCGAGATCCAGATCCATTTGATGATAGGCATCCTGGTAAGATGTGATGCAAAGATCAAGTGAGATAGGCCATGCAGCTATAACTACAAAATGTATGTGCTGCTTATGTAGCTTGGGATTTTTTCCAACTTCTGACTTATTGCAGCAGCGGCATGTAAATTGCGTTGGGCAGCTGTTTGGGGTTAGGGGACTGCATTAGCCCCTTCAAGAGGCCTTGAAGGGTTGCAGCTTCAGAATTTTTAGAAAGTTTTTAAAAAGGAGGTTGTGTGGGCATTTCCTTAAGTTTTTGTTCCATTCTGTGATGTTTTAAGCACTGGAAATTCTTTTTTTACCTTAGTAAGTGGCCTGAAATGAGTGGGGTAGGAGTGGGATTGGTGACTATAAAAAGGGTCCACATGGATTCAGGTTGCATTTGCTCCAACCACAATGCAGCGTGAAAATGATAGACTTCTCCTTCCTTTATTCTTCTGAATAATATACAGTAATTAATTTGCACAGATGAACCTGTTCTGTTTTGAAGACCTTGCTTCTGTATGTCATTTTCCTAAATCGGCATTGTGTCAGTGATTGCAAATAAAACACTTAGTCCTTCTTTTGATCCTGCTTCATGTGAAACATGAGTGTGTTCTCTTTTATTTGCCATAGCAGACTTACTCTGGTGTCCTCATGAATCCTTAGCACATTTTCAAGAAATGAGATATACAATGGATTTGAACTTTGATAATAAATTTAAGTCAAATTTCATTTCATTAAAAGCCACGAACAAAGACTTAATACCTTCTGTCTTAAGTGGTAGGCGGCATTCCAGTTCATTAAAATTGCCTACCCATAGCTTCAGGAAGATTATTTCCATATTACATATGCACATGAACTGGATGCAATGATGATCATTTGCTAAACATCCGAGGGATTTTTCTTGTGTTGATATTATCACAGATCAGGGCATGATATATTCTGTGATATGATTCTGTCTTTTTGTATCTTGTTTTGAGCCAGTCTTGTGAGCTGGATTAAGAAAGTAATTCAGATTTTTTCTTTTTTTCTACATGTTCTTTTTCTTCTGCTCTTTATGCTGTATGCTAGCAACTTGCATCAGGAGACTGTCAATAACTAAAAAATTAATGTTAAAAGCCCAGGAATTCCAAGTTGTTCTACTGACTTAAAGGCCTTTTCTCATCACTGTGACTGAATTCATTTTGCATAAAAAATAAGGAGCACATTTGGTACATGAAAGAATTAGGACTATACATACCTGGTTGCATGAATATACCTGTATTGAGATTCTGACCATTTCATTACATGCCAAAAGTCAGTCAGAATAAAATTGGAGTGCTTGCTGATGGGAAGTCCTCTCTTGTCATGCAGCCTTGGAGCAGTAACTCAGAAGGACCTTAAGATGATGTTGAAGGATGTCTATGATGGAGTACTTTTGCAGTTGCCCTTTGCTGCTACTATTTAATTTTGCTAACAAAGTATAAATTACTAACTGACTTTCTTGTCCATTTCTTTCCAGGTCGGGCAGATCCAAAATGTATGCTTGGCCACTTGCTGAGGATCCTCTTCAAGAATGATGATTTCATGAATGCAGTGGGTTTACATTAGTTATTTATGCATAAATTTGTAACTGGTAGCTAGAACCTAAGCCATTAGTATTGCTCAGTTATCTGAGTGCATTTCCTAGAATACCAGGATGCTTTTTTTCTCTTATGCTTTGTGATGAATCAGGGTTGCGTCTTCCAGAAAGTGGCTTAAAGATTGATTTAAGTATGATTTATATGGGTCATAATAAAAAAGCCAAAAGCAAATGTCTGTTAGCTAATTTGTGAAATGTAGTCTTAATAACAATGGCCTTTGCCCTGACTGTCATTAACAGAAAAGAAGGATTAACTTTGGTTACTGAAATTAATGTATATTATGTATCCTGAAATGGGCCATACACCATGAAATCTAGATCTAATCTCCAGTTTTATTTAAGATATAGTTTAGATATATTTTATTTTCTCCAAATGATGAGTGTGCTTCAGATACATTTCCTGCATATATAACTGTGAACAGTGCTATTCAAAATTATGGACACATTCATCCAAATGATCTAACTGAAGTTAATTCTTAAGATACTTACTTACTTAGGCGATCCCTCGTTGGACGAGTAAGATGGTCTTCCATTATGGATTTCCTTGTGGGTCCGTATGTGGCTGTGGAGCCCTATTCTTGCTCTGCATCTTCTTCTG